TACCATTCTGAGCGTGACACGACCAAAACCAGACAAAACCTGGATTTGCAACAAGAGCATTTCAACCACCAGGTTAAGCCAGTTCTCCCCTTTGGTTAACAATAACGTCATTAATGCTCAATGACATCAGGCAAGAGCATCCTATAAACTGGGCCACTGGTTCCTCACAGTTAAACCCTTCGCACTTTGCTTGGGGTGGGGCAGGATTTTGGGACCACACTTTGTAAACTCCACCCATTCCTTGGTGAAAATGGGAGACCCTTCATTTGAGGTTCCAGCTGTAAACAGTGGACCGCTTTAAGAAAGGAAATATCTGCACTGGAAGCGGTTCAAAAGAGATTCCCTCAGCTGATTCCTGGGGTGAAGGTGTTGATTTATCAAGAATGGCTAAACTGGTTAGGCCTTTCAACGTTACAGTTTAGAAGAATGAGGGGTGAGATCTTATTGAGTCATACAAGATCCTGAGGGAGCTTCACAGAACTGTAAAAAAGCCTACAGTGTGGAAGCAGGCCATTTGACCAGAGTCCACTCTGACCCTCAGAGGACCATCCCACCGAGACCCATCCCTTACCCCATCACTGTAACCCTGCATTTCCCATGGCCAATCCACCCTAGCCTGCACATCTTTGGACTGTGGGAGGAAACCGGAGCACCCGGAGGAAACCCACGCAGACACGGGGAGAATGTGCAAACTCCACAGAGACAATCACCCAAGATTGGAATCGAACCCGGGTCCCTGGCGCCGTGAGGCAGCGGTGCTAACCACTGAGCAACTGTGCCGCCCCTTTACAGGGTCAATGTTGAGAAAATGTTTCTATGAGTGAGGCAATCTCAAAGTCAGGAACATTGTTAGAGAACACTCATTTAAAATTGAGATGCTAAGGAATTTCTTCTTGCAGAGGGGAGTAAATGTCTGGAATGCTCTACCCAGAGAGTTTGGAGGCTAGATCACTGGAAGTTTTTAAACAGGAGACTTTTGAAATACAGGAGCAAGGGCTGAGAGGAGCAGGCATGGAAGAAGAGGTCAGGCCTGGGATAGACCAGACTTGAATGGATGAAAGGTGGGAATCTGTTGAGGGGCTGAATGGCCTACTGTTTCTATTTTCTACAAATTTACACCTCGGTGGGTAGCATGCATCCCTCTGCATCAGGAGCCTGTGGCTTCAGGTCTCACTACAAGCCCTGAGTTTGCAGAGAGTCCCAGTCAATATGTAAACCTGAAACCAGATGTATCCAGGATTTTGTCGCGTACAAACTGGTCCTTTTACCAAAAGCAAAACCTACATTTCTTTATTACCATTTATGAGCACAGGACATCCCAAAGCACTCAGCAGCCAACAAGTTATTGCACAGACACTGTTGCAATGTGAGAAATGAGGCTGCCAACTGTTGTACAGCAAGATCCCACAAACAGCACTACGATAGTGACCAGTTAATCTCTCAGTAGCATTGGTTGTTGAAGAATAAATATCGGCCAGGACATTTAGGGTGGGGCCCCCTGATCGTTTGCACTTTGAGATCTATCCACAACAACCACCTGCTTTTATACACCACCTTTAATTTGTTAAAACATCTAAGATACCTCAGAGCAGCATCATGAAAACATGACATCGAGCCACATGGAGAGACATACATAAAAGTTACATAGAATCCCTACAGTGTGGAAGCAGGCCATTCAGCCCATCGAGTCCACAGTGACCCTCCAAAGAGCATCCCACCCAGACCCACCCCCTACTCTATCCCATAAGCTGGCATTTCCCATGCCCAATCCACCTACTCTGCACATCCCTGGACACTATGGACAATTTCCCATCGCTAATTCACCCTAACCTGCACATCTTTGGACTGTGGGAGGAAACTCAAGCAGTCACAGGGAGAACGTGCAAACTCCACACAGACAGTTGCCCGAGGGGGGAATTGAACCTGGGTCCCTGCCGCTGTGAGGCAGCAGTGCTAACCACTGAGCCACCCATCAATGTGATGTCAAGCCACATAGAGAGACATGAAGGCAAGAGTTTGAATAGGGTTTGATGCCACACAGCAGGTTATAGGAAGCCAGGAGGGGAGATGGTGGAACTGAATTCTAGAGTTCAGGGCCAAAGAAACAAATGCCAGTGATTAAAATCAAGGACATGCAAGATCTAGGTTTACTTGGGGAAATGTAAAATATCACAAGACCACTATGAGGAAGTGCAGGGGAGAACTCCAAAGTGCACTGGACTTTACCGATCCCTCAATCACAAGGCCAGAAACAGGTATTTATTTCAATCGTGCACGTTTTCTCAACAGTCAATGCCCACTCCTTAACTGCCCTTGAGAAGGTGGGGATGAGCTGACTTCTTGAACCACTGGCGTCAACCTGCTGTGGGTTGCTCCATAACACACTTAGGAAGGGAATTCCAGGATTCTGACCCAGCGACAGTGAAGGAACAGTAATACATTTCCAAATCAGGATGGTGGGCAGCTTGGAGGGGAACTTTCAGAGGGAGGAGTTTACTGCCCTTGTCCTTCTAGATGGTACAGGTTGTGGGTTTAGAAGGTGATGGGGTTATTTGGTCATAATCACATGGATGCTTTAGGGAGCTTACTGTGCACCAGTTGACTTTTGAGCCTTTCCTCTGTTGCAAATGTGGCAACATCTGCAATCAAATAGTTCATCAGCTGAGAAGTGATCAGACGTGTGACGGCTATACAAAGTGCTGTATAAATGTAAATCTTCCTTTAATCACGAGAAAATACAGAAAAAAAACAAAAATGTCTAGCTGTAGTTAGAGTAGGTCATCTAGCAAATGACAAGAAACTCCTCTGAATAATAATAGCTAAAGTAAAACAGAAGCAGGAACAATCAATTTAATTTATGGCAATCTGTCAAAATGCAAACAGAAGAACTTAAGAAAAAACCTGCAAACTGCTCCAGTAAAAAGGAACGTTTTCTTACGTCACCTTGTTGTGAGGAAGCACACCCAAAAAACAGAGTTATTTTGATTTTTGTTTTTGTTCAATATGAAACACTCACTTTCAACAGGAAGGTTTTGGGTTTGGGGCCTCGCTTCTTTGGCCCATACAGCTCCCTCTCTCTCTCCCTGCAAGAAATGCACAGTGAAAAACAACAGAAATGCACATTTGACATTATGCACAGCAACGGGAATTTAAAAAAAAAGAATAAATAAATCCAAAATGGACCCGATTCAGGGCAGGGAAGAAAAAAAATATTCCTCCGCCTTCCACTGTGTACCTTTGCTCGAAAGCCGCGATCAAACGGGCATCCAAGATGTTCTCCTCCGGTTCCCAAGTGCTGTATCTAAAAGGAGAAAGGAGCTAATTACTGCACCTTTGCAATGTTTGTATGTTCCATTTTATTTTGCAATTTTTTTCTCTCCTGGCCCGCCACTTACTTGATAGCCCATCCTTTCCACTTCACCAGATACTCGATACGGCCCTGTCAGAAATGCAAAACGCAAACGTTACTGGGGCCGGCGACACCGTGCACCCGCGGGGATTTTGTGCATTGGTTACGGTGCACCCTACCTTCCGGACCCGCCGCTTGATGATCGACTCGGCCGCGAACACTCGCTCTCCCACCGCCGAAAGCTCCATCTTGGCTCCACAGCCCCCTCCGCACTCAGCCCAGTGCGCAGCCGCCGACAGCCCGGACCACGTGACCGCGCCGTCGCCGGGAGCTCAGCTCCGCCCCCCCCGGCGGCGGTTGCCAGGGACCGGCCCCCATCCCCGGCGGCCGTTGCTAGGGACTTGTCCCGGGCCAGCAAATGCGCTTTGCACTGCGATGCGTGCGTTTGCAAAGCCCCAGTTGCAGAGCTTTGAGGGGCAGTGGGGGTGGAATTCTCCCGCAGCTCGGGTAATATCGCCCCCACTGAATGCAGGGCTCTCTCTGTTTGCATTCCGTTCAAAGTCCAGTCTGTTGGGTGAAACGGCCATTCATTCATCTATTAAAACCTAACCACAGCTGACTCTCAAATCATTGCAATAGTCTGTTCACAAGAACAGGTAGAGTCAAAACCCGTTGAGTCTTTTAAAGAAAAGGATTAAATCAATCATTGAAGCTGGGAGTAGTTTTACACCAGGTTATAGTCTAACAGGTTTTCAAATAAAACTGCTGGACTATAACCTGGTGCCGTGTGATTTCTGACCTGAATTAGTTCAGGTTGGTATCTGGCTATGAGTAGTGAGATTCGTTTTAAAAATTGCATTCGCTTAGCACCTGCTCCTGACTTGAGTACAGCCCAAGGCGTTTTACGCAGACAACGAAATATGTATTTCTGGGTGGGCAACATTGTAGGAAATTCAACCATCCAGCTGACGCCTGCAAACAAAAGAATGGTCAGATAGGCTGTTTCTGTAATTTGATTGAGGGATGAATGTTGGCAAGGACATCAGGGAGACGGACACTCTTGCTCCTCTTCAAAAATAGGCACTATAACAGTGCAGCACTCCCCCAGCCCTGCACAAAGCTGGTTGTGCTCCTAGAGCAGGGCTTTAATCCAGGACCTTCTTACTAACTCCGAGGTGAGTAACCTGTTCACGGAGCCAGGTGTGACACAAGCATAGGCACACATGCACTGTGCTACTCTGCTAGTCTCAGAAAGTCAGCTTCCTGCAGCCAACATACAACACCAGTCCATCTTCCAACCCAAAATCTTCCCAGGAAGTTGGTCTTTGATTGATATTTGCACAAACGTCATCTCCAGCCACATCTCTGGGTTACAATGATCTACGAGTCATTTTGCTGCCTCAGCAATTGGGGAGGTGATAGCCTAGTGGTATTATCACTGGACTGTTAATCCAGAGACCACAGGTAATGTTGCTGGACATGGCAGTTAGTGGAATTTCAATCCAATAAATATCTGAAATAGTCTAATGATACCACAAATCCATTGCAGATAGTTGGGAAAACCCATCTGGTTCACTAATGCCCTTTAGGGAAGGAAACTGCCATCCTTACCTGGTCCGGCCTACATGTGACTCCAGACCCACAGCAATGTGGTTAACTCTTAACTGCCCTCTGGGCAATTAGGGATGGACAATAAATGCAAATCTAGCCAGTGATGCTGTCATCCCGTGAATAAATAAAACAAAAAATGCAAAGATATTCATTCAGTTAACATACTCAAGTGAACATGCAAAGCTAAGCACAAATGATGATGACGAACATTGGAACTACTGGACTGTGAGATACTGGATATAGACCGGATTCTCTGTCTGGTACCCATCTGGTTCGCTAACATTCTCCAGCAAAGGACATCTGCTTTCTTACCTGACATGGCTCTACACTCACAATGTGGTTGACTCTCAGATGCCCTCTGAAATGGTCCTAGTGAGACAGGACAATTGTGGGGGGGTTGGTGGGGGGAGAAAATAGACAGCAAATGCTGGTCTGCTTCACTATTCAATTTCATGGCTGATCTTATAATCCTCAGCTCCACCTGCCTGCCTTTTCCCCCAATTCTTGTTTCCCTCACTGATTAAAAATCTAACCTAGGCTTGAATATACTTTACAACCCAGCCTCAACAGCCCTGTATATTAAAGAACTCCACAGATTCACTTCCCTCTGAGAGAAAAGGCTGTATGAATCTGTGACTCTATATAAGACATTTCTCCTTGTTTCTGTTTTAAATTGGAAACTACTTACCATGTGATTATGCCATCTGGTCCTGGACTCTCCCACAAGGAGAAACAATGTCTTGGTATCTACGCTGTCAAACCCCATAAGAATTTTCCATGTTTCAATTACTTCATATTCTTCTAAACTCCAATCAGTACAGGGCCAACTACTCAACCTCTCATAAGACAGTCCCTCCATACCCAGCAGCAACCTCATGGACTTTCTCTGACTGCCTCCAATACCAGCATATCTTTCCTTAGGTGTGATGTGAAGATCATCACAGCATCATAGAACTCCTACACAGTGGAAGCAGGCCATTCGGCCCACCGAGTCCACTCCGACACTGAAGAGCATCCCCACCATACCCACCTCCAACCCTATCCCTGCATTTCCATCGCTAGACACTATGGGGCAATTTCCCACGGCCAATCCCCCTGACCTGCACATTTGGACTGTGGGAGGAAACTGGAGCACCTGGAGGAAACCCACAGTGTTGGACTGGGGTCGACAGGGTCAGAAATCACATGACATCAGGTTTGAGTCCAACAGGTTTATTTGGAAATACAAGCTTTCGGTGCATTAGTCCTGCTAACACCTGAAGAAGGAGCAAGACTTCAAAAGCTTGTGTTTCCAAATAAACCTGTTGGACTGTAACCTGGTGTTGTGTGATTTCTGACCTTGTCCTTAAATAAGGAGACCAGAACTTTTCTCAGTATTCTAGGTGTGATCTGATATAGTTTTAGCAAGACTTCCATATTTTTATACTCCATTCCCTGTAAAATATAGGCCGACATTCCGTTTCCTCTCTCTTTACTCATTGAACCTGGATGAGTTTTGTGATTCATGCACAAGGATACAATCCATCTGTACTGCAGCTTACTGCACTCTTTATCCATTTAAATAATATTCAGCTTTTCTTTTTGTCCTGCTGAAGTACATAGCCTCACATTTTCCCAAACTATATTTCAACTACCAAGTAGATTGACGTGTGGCCCTTATCAAAGTGCCTCTTGGAAATCCAAAACTATGTTACACCTACTGGTTTCCCTTTATCTATACCACTTGTTACCTCCTCAAAGAACTTGAATATATTTTTCAGGCATGATTCCCCCTTCATTAATTCATTCTTGATTATATTGTGCATTTCTAAATCGTTTGCTAAAACGACTCCAACATTTTTCGACAATAGATGTCAAGCTAACTGGTCTATAGTAATAGATCATAGAATCCCTACAGTGTGGAAACAGGCCATTCGGCCCAACAAGTCCACACCACCCCTCTGAAGAGCATCCCACCCAGACTCATTCCCTTACCCCTGATTTACCCATGTCTAACCCACCTAACCTAAACATTCCTGGACACTATTTAGCATGGCCAATCCACCTAACCTGCACGTTTGGACTGTGGGAGAAAATTGAGCACCCAGAGGAAACCCACACAGACACGGGGAGAATGTGCAAACTCCACACAGTCACCCGAAGCTGGAATTGAAACTGGGTCCCTGGCGCTGTGAGGCAGCAGAAACATTTAGACCCTCCCCATCAGGGAATTGAACCCCAGTCGCCCGCGTGACAGGCAGGGATACTAACCATTATACTACCGAGGATTTCTGAAGAAGGGTCCCAGCCCGAAACGTCAACTTTCCTGTTCCTCTGATGCCGCCTGGCCTGCTGTGTTCCTCCAGCTCCACACTGTGTTATCTCTGACTCCAGCATCTGCAGTTCTTGCTATCTCTGGCCTATAGTTAACTGTGTTTCGTCTCCCTTCTTGATAAGGGTGTGCCATTGGAAAACTGCCAATCCTCTGGGACTTTTCCAGAATCCAAGGATTCTAGACAGATTGCTTCTAGTACATCCACTATCTCTGCAGCTACTCTGTTTGAAATCCTAGGATACATCTCATCAGGTCCAGGCAACCTATTAGCCTTTAGCCCTATCACCTTCACTAGTACTTTTTCTCTACTGATAGTTACTATAAATGTTTCCTCCCCACATTTTATCCATTGATTATTTAGTATTTTTGGAATGCTATTACTGTCTTCTGTGAAATCTGATGCAAAATATTTATTCAACTTTGCTGTCATTTTGTGGTTCTCCATTATCTTTTCCCCGGCCTCATTATCTAAGTGGCCTAAGTTCACTTTGGTCTAAGAATGAAGACGATACAGCACAGGAACAGGCCCTTCGGCCCTCCAAGCCTGCACCACCACATTTTGCCCTTCCATATTAAAACTGTCTTCATTTACAGGATTCGTATCCCTCTATTCCCTTCCTGTTCATGCATCCATCCAGGTGCTTCTTGAATGCTGTTATTGTGTCTGCTTCCACCACCCCCTCTGGCAGCACGTTCCAAGCACTCACCACCCTTTGTGTGAAAAACGTGCCTCGCACATCTCTTTTAAAGTTCCCCTCACCCCACACCTTGTACCTGTTCCCCCAGTAATTGACCCCTCCCATCCTGGGAAAAAGCCTCATACTTTCCACCCTATTGAGTCACCCCTCAATGTCCTGCATTCCAATGAAAACAAACCCAATCTATCCAACTAGTTACTTAATCCCCCATTTCAGGCAACATCCTGGTAAACCTTTTCAGTACCCTCTCCAAAACATCTACATCCTTCCAGTATTGTGGTGACCAGAACTGTGCTAACTCTATTGCAGACATAACACAGCAGGCCAGGCAGCAACAGTCTCTTTTATATATTTAGTTAAGCTCTTAAGAGTTTGTTTCTATATACTTGCTAGTTTTCTCTCATAATTTACTTTCTCCTCTTTATTATTCATTTAGTAATCTTTTGTTGGTTTTTAAAACTTTCCTAATTCTCTTGTTTACCACAAATCTTTGCCACAATGTATGTAATTTCTTTTGATTTGATGCTATCCTCAGATTCCAGGGTTAACCATAGTCGGTTTATCTCTTTCCGAGATACCTCCTTCCTCATTGGGATGTACATTTTTGCAAGTCACAAATTATTTTACTAAACATTTGTCATTGTTCATCAAACATCTTCGCTACTAAACTCCTTTCCCGGTCCACTCCGGCCAGTTCAGCCCTCATCCCTTTGTAA